CCCCCTCCCGCCCACTCCCCAAGTCTCACTATCATATTTTGCTCATGACCCACACTCGAACCTTTCCCTCCGCCCTTCAATCGGCTCGACGTCGTTGCTTTTCATGTCTGCGAAGCTACTGGCTCTTCACCTCGGATGTCTACATCTACGATGGGGTCAAGCTCGAACTCCATGCCGAGTCGGGCACAACGGTAAGTCGTCGAAAAGAAGAAGAACCAACAACGAACCGGAGGGACCCAACTCGACTCTGCAGCCTAGCGTTTCGGTGTCCGCAGCTGAGCTGCGTATTGCGTAACACCCCATTGTTGCCACGCGAGGCGTTTGTACGCCTGGGCTGGCGGGCGCGAAGTGCGCTCCGGTAGTTCGGTACAGCGACCTATCATACGCTTGCATAACACCCTAGGTTGGGGTGTGGGTTAGGGCCGAGGTTGAGGGGTGGGTTACGCCTAGTGAGGCCTGGCACCGGTGGTGTAGCCTTGGGGCTGGAAACCTGCTCGTGGCCTTGGTTTGGTGTCTACTTTCAACCACAACCCCAAAGCTGTTGACTGGCGAGCGCAAGCAACCCAGCGCTGGCGCAGATCGGGGGGTCCCCAAATGCCGGTGTTCCAGCGGTGATGAACATGGTAACCCCCCACACAAAAGGGCTGGCCTGGCCCGCAAGTGTGTTGAGCAGGCTGTTTTGTTGAGCCCCCCCACCCCCCAAATGCAAGGAAAATGGCCAGCTTCTGGTGTATCCTCGTAAAATGAAGCCTGGGCCACCAAACACTCGGCATATCATCGCTCGGTGCCGGCTTGTAGGGATGCGAGGTCACTGGTCGAAGGGCTACTACAATGTATGGTATGCGTTTTACATGAGCACATCCCCCCGCGTGAATCTATCTCTCGCCTCCACCCGCATAGAGGTGTCGACTGATGAATGGTTGGATTAATCGACTTCACGAATCCATTTGCGAGAACGTCCTGCTTCCCTCCCTTTCCATCTGCCTCACGTGTGAGTCGTTGGGTTTTTTGCGGTGTTTGCTTCTTCGATCTGCCGGTGTCTGCGCATGCATGTTTATGGTACACGCCAGCAGTGTCGGGAATGTTGGGTGTCATGTATATCCTGTTTGTTTTTTTTCGTTCGGTCGGTTAAGATGTTTTGGTGAAAAACGCTACCGTGTACTGCTGCGGTCGGATGAGTCTGCGGCAAATGAACATGACGAAGAAAGCCATCAATACATATATATATATATAATATATATATTTGTGCAACAATTTGTCAACCGCAGGGGATGAGGCTAAAGTCGGACTCCAAGGTCATTGAGCTCAGGGCGCACGGCGGGTGGTTGTCTCTGCTGAACACCGAGGTGCGCGCACGTCTGGGATTGTTTGGTTGTAGCGCAGGCCTGCACTGCTGTCTGCACTGAAAGCTTCCGTGGTCGCTGCCGTACATCGGCATGTACCTAAAAGACAGGTACTGTTGTTGGATTTGTTCGACGCGTTCGGCCGTGTGGCCACAAAAGCTAACGAGGAGTGCGTCATACCTCCATACACCACGGTTCTTGGTGTCTAGTAGCGCGGGGTTGGTACTGCGCTCAGAAGCTTTGTCTTCTGGGTGATTCTCTTTGCTCCCCCCCCCGCCCTTCTCTCTCTTTCTTTATCCCTCTCTCGCTCTCTCTCTCTCGGCCCGCGTCTTTTTTTTCACCAAGGAAAACAAAGCGGGAAATTGAGAATCGCACCCTCGGGCGCTCTCGAGCTTGTTGCGTACCTATGCCCATGGTATGTGTTATCTTTTTTTTTCGCCTGTGGCCGCTTGCCCGCAGAAGATCGCCCCCCCCCCCCCTGCCGGTGGCACCCTCCCGATGCCATTGCTTTTTTTTTTTATAAGAACATGTATAGTCCGACTGTTGTCTCACTGATCCTACCTCGGTGCCATTGTCTTGACCTGGTGTGTTGTGTATTTCTACAGCTGTCGTCATGGGATGTGGACGAGGCGGACTACGCCTCGAACTACTCAGCGCCCCGGTCTTATGTTACGGCCATCAGCGAGGTGCTGGACAGCCCCCCACAGACTTGCGTCGGCCACGCCAAAAATGACGCGGGAGAGGCGCGATTCGACAGTGAGTTTCTTTGTGTCGTTGTTGTTTTCGCTGCTGCTGCTGCTGCTGGTGTTGTTGTTGTTGGTGTTGTTGTTGTTGTTGTTGTTGTTGTTGTTGTTGCTGCTGCTGCTTCTTATGTTTAGGTGGTGTTTGCTGCTTGTTGGAGGTGTTGATGTTGTTTGCGCAGTGGGCTTTCTCGGCCATCACGTTAATCGATCTATAGGCGTGGGCCGCAACTCGCTACATAGGCTCAACGCAAACTGCCGCCACAGCAGGCGGCGCGGAGCCACGCGCGGCACCAAGTGCATAGCACACTCACCTCTTCTCGGTGCAAACGTACGCGAGACAGCAGAGCAGGTCATGTGTTGTTTGCAGCACCACTGGCTGCTGTAGCAGCACCGCTGACTGCTGTCGCGGTACGACTGACTGCTGTGGCCTCATTGGTCGGGCCTATTTCGTGCCCCTTCCCATCTGACTGGACGTATTCCGTGGTTGTTTGTTCAAATTGCTCGCTTGGTGGGCGTTGCGGGGATGGGCGGGTTCATGCTGGCTGCTGCTGCTGCTGCTGCTGCTTCTGATGATGATGATGATGACGATGATGATAATGATGATGGTCCTGCGTTGTGACGGCATATCAGTCATAAACAGCGAGGTCCACCACTTGGGGCACTACGGCACGGAGGCGTACGGCATCACGTGGAAGGTATGACATACCACCAAAGTACGCCATGCCACCGAAGGAAGTATTTCATATTTACCACCGAAGAAAGTACTTCTTTACACCTTACCAACAACGTGTACCATACAACCAGAGCAGGGACCGCAAATGAGGAAGACAGGTTGTCAATGAACACTATTATACATCCCTGTTCCGAATTAACGTCTGATCCTCCCTCTGTTGTTTACGAATCGGCGGCGCGCTGCCTATTTTCCTCGTGGTCTTGGAACTCGAATCAAGCCTCCTCGCATTCATGATTTTATGTAGTAGATACGCATCCCAGCTGCTGGTCCTAACTCTGATGCAACGAATGCCGTCCTTGTAGCTCGTTTAGTTATTTTCAACCATTTTCATTTTTTTTGTGGCAGATTGGTTTACATCTCTTTTCTTCTCTTTTCCGTACTTGTAGGGGCATAGGAATTTGGTTGAATAGGCGGGAAGTGATATCGATAGGATAGATCGACTGTAGGGAAGACATTTTTGAGTCACCTTTGGCATAGTAAGGAACGATTGGCCATCGGTGATCAGTCCTGTGGGAACGATGCTCCGTCCTCTCGAGGACGCGTGGTCAATGGTGTAACCGCTAAGGCATGCAATACTTTTTAGAAGAGTACCCTACACCTACTACTTACCCGTATGGTGCGTCGTCTCAGGTGCGAGGGTTCTGCGTAGACTTGTCGAACGAAGACCTCTTCGACAGAGTCAACGTTCGCGGAGACATCCGTTTCTCGGATATCCACCACAACTACTTCGGAATGTGAGGAGAGAGGGGTAAGAGGGGCGCCGCAGCAGCGTGTGTTGCGGATACGTAGGTACCATGCCCTAGCCGCCGAAGGTTTCGATTTCGTGTCGCTCAAGTATTCCGCGTGCAGCTGCTGTGCGCTGCTTGCGCCAGGCTGCAGCGCACCGAGAAACTTGTTTTTGCGGTTTGGCGTCGCGAGTCTGTTGGGAATGATGTCGGTGCGTGTGCGTCATCGCCATGTATCGTCAGCCGGAGAGAGGGGCTCCCTAACCACGAATGCTGTGTGCTGTTTGTCCCGCCCCCCCACCCCCCCCCGGCTTTATCGTTGCACAGGTACACGTACGGGCACCAGGACGGGCTCTGGGAGTATAACCTCATGCACGAAAACGCCAAGTGAGTCAGTCACCACTTGTAAACACTGAAAGTGCTTTTTCGCTGTCGTCTCAGCTCTAGTTGGATCCATAGCGGCGCCTTGAAATCCTTCGGGAAGAGTAGTACGGGGCGCCCCTTTGTGTCCGTTTTCAGTTCCATGCCATGAACACGTAACAAGGCAGCATGCTTGCTGTAGCTGGGGACATCGTCTAGATGGGGGTGCACTCGCTGTCGCCAACGTGCACCTCCCACCCCCCCTTGTCCCTGCACATGCTGGAGATCTCGCGAGCGGCCTGTGTAAGGCGATCATCTGCTTTTCTAATATGTCATGTGTGCGTACGGACTATCGTTGTAGAGTCTCCGTGTGTTGGTTTTGAGTGCGCGCAGTAGTGTGGTACTTGACCCGTCCCCCACCCGTCCCACTTTGCGTGCTCTTGGCGTTCATGTGGGCCTGATTCTGCGATGTTCACCGCTCGTGCCCGGTTGTTTCGTCGGCGATCAAGCAGATACGGTAAGTTCTGGTACTTGGTGCGTTGATGGACTATTATATTATCACGCGAAACGACAAAGCAGATGCGCGGTTGTTCTGCGTGCCCTACTCCCGTTTTTGCGTGTTGGCTGGGGAGACTATCGCCACACGCGAGCAGAGCCCTCGTCACTTTACTGTCAGTCACTGTTTTGGTGGTCTCCTGTCCTTCACCCGCCATTCTACCATATGGCCGTAGCGTGCCTCGTTTTTTCCCTCACCGCCTTGGTGTTCTCACGGGTTGTCGGGTGCTTTTGCAATTATTTAAATTTGTGACCAGTTTCCTGTTCGATCCATGTATGCAGAGTCGTCTTAGACCCCTCACCGTGCCTACTGCCACGCCTGCGTGCCACTTTTTTCGCGCTTACAACGATACCATCCCAAACCATTCAATCAGGCTTCGACCCCCACGACGACTCGGACAACCTGAGGTGAGACAAAGTTGTCGGTAGGCAGGACAATATCTGAACCCTCTCTTAAACCACCCGCTGTTGTCTCGCAGCCCACGGGCAGAGGCGGTGACGACCACAGTAAATAAAGAAAAAAAAAATGTGCAATCATTCTGTTATACAGCATTGGGTGATGGCGACGATGATGATAGCTGTGGTGGTATGTTTTTGTCGCTACGGTAACTTACCGTAGGTGCTTTGATATTTGAGCTTTTTTACACCTCGTGGCAGTTCGTTGTTCATGGACGCGTGTCCTTCAGCCTGGGCGTTTCGCTTTTTTTCGCCCGCTGCTGCTGCAGCGGTGGCGGCGATGGCCCTTCCTCGTCTGATTTTTTTTTTTTTTGTTCCGCTGTCGTCTCATGACTCTTGTGTTGCTATTTATTTTTCGGCCGCCGCCTCCACCAATACCCACCTGCGGTGCCTGACGCTTCGCTCTGTTTGGATCAGAATCCACAACAACATCGTGTGGGACAACGGTGAGGAACCTTTTTTTTCTTTTTATCATCCCCTTGTAACTGTGTACGAAGTGCTTTCGGTGACCAGGGAGAGCCTTTTCTATTTGCCGTAGATCTCGAGTGCAGAGTATTCCCGGATTGTTGTTGTTGTTGTTGCTGCTGCTGTTGTCTTCACATTAAACTGGAGTCAGTTGCTAATCCCAAAATCTAGCAAAAACGCGGTCCGTGGTCACAAAAATGCCAGAGCCATCAGAAGATCTGAAGAACACGCAAACTAGCAGGAATGGGTGACGTCAAAAGCGTGTGTGCGAACTGGGTCCTGTGCTTCGTAGTGTCCTTCCTTGCTCTACCAATCTATCAATCTATCCATCAATTATTCTATCAATCTATCAATCTATCAATCTATCAACAGCTTTTTCAAACCAACTACAACCAAATCCTTATCACCTTGTTCCTGTTTTGAACGCAATGTTTTAATGATTGCGTCATGTTTGTTTTTCATATGGAGTGTGATATTGTTTTTTTTTTACGTGACCTGTGCATGTGTGATGACATGCGCTTCGTTCCCTCGGCTGTGCATGCCAGCCTACAAGGACGAGCCTTAACTCGCGTCCTTTTTCCCGCTGCATGTTCGCGCTCAAAAACCTTTGGTATATTTTTTCTATGTTCCCGCTTCTGTCTGCATGTTCGCCTTGTAAATCTCTCTGTGTTTGCCTTTTTACATGCCTGCATGTTTGCCGTCTAAAATCTGAATGATGCTCCGCATATTCCCCCCCTCCCTCTGTTTTGCCCTTCGTTCTGCCACAGGGGACCACGGTATCATCGCTTCGAAGCGGTGTAACGACGTCTCTATCCAGAACAACGTAGTGTACGACAACGCCAACGCTGGCATCATGCTCCACCGCTCCAGCGACCACGCCATCGTTCGAAACAACACGGTGTCGGGCAGCGGCGACGCTTGCATCGCCATATTCGAGTCCATGGGTGAGCGAGAGGCATACTGGCAGACAGACAGGGAAAACTAACGGACGGTCGTGGCTCACCACGCTTCTCCTTGCCTCCGCGTGCGTCCCGATGGTGATGACAGCATTGCAGCCCACACCAAGTCTTGCGATTGCTGTCCTGCTGGACCCTCCTCTAGTCTTGCTCGCTACATACAACGTGTATTTTTTACTGTCTTTTGACCTGGTGCTTTCTGCAGAGGGCGACATTGTCCCTTCTGAGTTCAACCGCTTCCCCCCGCCGTTTTTTTTTTTTGTGTTTCGCGTTGTTTTATTTGCAGAGGGTGACTACAGCAACAACAAGTGCACCGACAACAAGTACGGCTTCCGCTGGTCCGTGGGGGCCTCGCACAACAAGATCTACGACAACGAGGTCTACGATAGCCAGCAGTGTGAGTCTCTTCGTGACGACCCTCCTTGTCACGGGTGCTAAGAGGCAGCGAGCGCGACGGTAGAGGGCTCGAGGGGGGCGACAGGAGGGGGTCTCGGCGGATTCAACGGCGGGGTTAGGGGAGGGGGGGGAGTCTTGGAGTTTTCAGCCTTGCTTCTTTCGCCTTTCATTTGCTGCGCACCCCGGTGTTGGAGGGCGCACGTGAGAGAGGCGTGTTGACGTGGGTGCTACCGATGCTGCTGCCCCCGGTGCATGTGTTCTAACCATCCTAGGGACAGCACACATCAGTTTGCAGTACCACAGAGAGCGGAGACCACCCACTCGGTGGAACTTGCGTGCTTTTCCCCCAGAGGCCACAAAAAATAAAATAATGAAGTGTCTTGTCGGTATCCACGGTCTGCATCTGTGACTACACGTAGGCTTCATGTCGGCAGGGCCTGTACCGGTATCGTTGTACTGTACCTTCCTCGCCCCCCCCCCTATTCGTGTGAGACGAAACGTTGAGTATGCCGTCACTCGAAGTCTAAATGAGCAATCGTTTTCGGTCAACAAAAAAAAAGCGTGAGAGGCACGCTCGTCCGTGCGCTAATCATTCCAAGCCGGGATTATCACGATTGCACGGTTTTGCTATTCGTCACTATTTTTCAGAAGCATTTTTGTTTGTTTTGTTCGTCCCATGCTTCAGACGGGATTTACATGTACGAGGGAAGCGACCTGCCCTACGTCTCAGATGGGCTTCCCTCCTACAACATCATCGCGAACAACATCATCGATACCGCCACCGAAGGAATCAAGATGGGCGACACCGTGGGCAACGAGTTCACGGGCAACGTGAGTGCTAATTCATAGCACGAATTACTCCGACCAAAAGTATATATGTAATATCAATTATGGGGACTCATGTCTTTTGTGGGTTCGACCCGCGGAAGAAAAATCCGCCTCTACTATACCGACGAGTGAAAGTTGTGGCCTTGGAAGTACCGTGTAGTTTGTGGCTTGGAAGACGAATCAGAATGTAACTGAGGTAGGGGTTGCCTGCCCACCACGACGGTTGTTGCTGTTTTTTTTTTTCAGTTTCCCCCGGTATTTGTGGTGGAAACCGTCCCCACCCGTTTGTCTCATGCGTATCTCCAAGGAGGCCGTCGGCGTTCCTATTACATCATGTGGTCTCCGGGACGGCTTGATTTCGGCCAAGACGACTAAAGCAGCTATAATCTCGACCTTATTCAACAGCGAATTGTTTGACAAGCGTTTTTTTTTTTCGTCCCATTTTCGCATGTGGCGCTCTCGTACGTACGTCCTGTTCCCCGTCCCCACTGCCCTCTTCTCCGGAGGCAGGTGATCACAAACACGGCCGACCTGCGCTTCCGTAACTCCTCCGAGGTCATCTGGAAGGTGCGATGGTGGTCGGTCTTTCCTCTTGGTCAATACTTGCACAACGGCTGTCTTGTAGTGGTAAGGGTGGGAGGTTAGGTGTACGTGTATTTGTTTACGTAAACCACCTCCTTGATGTTTTTGGTGCGCGTCGGAAGTGCAAGCGCAAGGATTATTGATTGTGGTGCCGTTTGGTGCATCATCAACGCCCACGGTGTATGAGCCTTGACGACAGTCTTGTCTAGAAGGAGGGCTGTATTGGTTTTGTCACTTTCACCTAATGTTTGTGTGGAAGAGACATTCCCTCGTCTCGTGCTTGTGTTGTGCAGGAATTCAGCTCGTGCTTGTGAGGATCGATGTTATAGTTCGCCCTCTGGAAGGGATGAGAAACGGCTCCTCACCAGCGAGAAGTGTAGCAGTAGCGACCGAATATCACGTAAAAAACGCTCGTTGCCCCTTACTCTTGTATGGAGCAGGGAGTGCGTGTTCAGCAAACGGTTGCAGCGACGGGGGGCTTGTCGTCAACGACGCCTCGAGGAGCGTAGCACGTGAAATAACGTATAGACCAGGAAACTCCTTGCACAACCGCAACCGCGCGTGTGCCGTCTGTTCTGCAGTCTGTTGTGAAGGACTCTTGCCTTTGTTCCGTCTCTTTCAAGCCCCCCACCGTGCATGCTGTTTGGCCTCTCTCTCTTTGCCTGTAAAACCTCTTTCACCCATCACCATGTGCACCGTGTACGAGCCTCCCCCCCCCCTCTCTCTCTGTCTCTCTTTCTGTCTCTCTCTCTCTCTCTCTCTCTCTCTCTCTCTGTCTCGGTCTCTCTCTCTCTCTCTCTCTCTCGCTTTCTCTCTCTGACGCTCTCAATTTTTGCTTCCTGGATCGATTTCTTGTTTTATTCGCAAATCCTCACGTGTGTGTCCACAGGACAACGACATCCCAGCGGGGGTTGACATCGACTCGGAAGGTTCTTGCTTCACCTCCGACTCCGACATTGTCCAGCTCGGGGAGGAGGCTATAGTCTGCTAAAGAATCCCCGAAACGTCGCCGGATCATGGAAAATGGGAACACAACCCTCAAGAGTAGAGTTTGGCGACTACCCAAAGCATTGCGGAATAGAGTTTTATTGTTCCAGGCGTGCGCTTAACGGGCGACAACATCGTCTGGGTTTTTTGACGTGAGGCCGCCATGTTGGTGGTGGCACCAGCAGCGTGCAATAGGCTGAACCACTGTAGCATAGTACCCTTACTCGTATTGGTTAACGTGTGGAGGGTGGGGGTGGGGGTTCGTCGGTCCTTGGCTTCCGGGCGGGCGTTGTCTTGTGGTAGTGAAATCTCCGTCGTTGTCTCTCATCCCCGTGCCATCTCGTGACACTCCTTGATTGATTGCATCAGTTTCATGTTGCAATGAAAATGTAACCGCGGGGGTGTTTTCTTTCGACCTAGAGGCAGAGACGCCTGAGACGCGCAGAATGGAGCAGAAATCTCATTTGGAGGGTGAAGGGAAGGGGGGAGGGGGGGGGGCAGTAGTGAGGGCACTCTCGTTGGGAGCGACGAATGTTTTGGGGGTAGGTTGGTGGGTTGGAATATTGTGATCTTTCTGACCAAGTTTTGCGACCTTATCGCGGGGGTATCCTTGAGGTGGACGTCCTGCTTTGGCTACACGCACACAAACCAATCCCTTCGGGCCTCCTGCTGTGAAGCGAGAATAGCTATGGCTGTTGCCGACTTGTGTGTGCACGCGTGTTTTGTTGGCGTAGACTACCTTGGGGGGAGACAGAGGGGCGTTGTGGGCCAGGCAGAGGAGAGTGAGAGACATCGTACTCTTATCTTGACACATTCGTTCGTAGTATGGGGGGCCCGTTCATGTGTTGTACGTGTAATATATAAGCATGACGGGGTCTTAGTATAAGGTGGTAGCATTCTCCCTCGTGTAATTTCCGATATCTGTGAGAGAAGAAGGAGAGCTCTTGGTGCTCATCGGCTTGCCTGTTATATGCTGTAAGAAGCTTGTTTGCGTTTGTTTGTCGTTTTTGTCGCCTTTGTTTTTCCATTTCCCCCCATTCTGTTGTCTCGATAAATATGTTGCTGGTGACGTTGGTGAAAATCAGAGAAAAAATCAATATTTTATTCTGGCGGGCCACCAAGATGTGCGGCTGCAACCCACGACGCAGTGTGGATGATGCAATAGTCTTGGGGGTGTGGTTCAATTGGAAATTTTCGAGCATGCAATCGGAGATGAAAAATATAGGTGGTTGTGCGAAATACGGAGGGTTTTGGCCTTGCGCGCTCTTCTTTCCCTTTTTAGACGTGGACTGGTATTGATTTACGGCGCGTCGTTCCGTGTCGGTGTCGCTTTGCGTCTGTCCGCATTTCTTCCATGATGCTTGTCAAGAAGGTTGGGTGGTGCGGCGGTAGTCCTGATGTCGAAGGACAAGGCACGTCGTACGCGCGCACCATGTAGTGGAAATTTTGCCTGTCTTCGTTTTCTTCCAAGTACGCCCCTCGTTTTTTCCCTGTCGGCTCTGGGTTGATGCCATGTAGACTAGTCAAAATGAGCATTCATGTATCTATGAAGAAGCTTTTACCCCGGCATTTGCCTTTCGAGAACCTTAGTTCTGACACTGACGACGGGGCAGAGCTGACTGCCACACTGTTGTACCCCCAAGACAGAACCTTTTCATGTCTCACAGCATGCGTTGCCACGAAAAGTTCACCTTCTCTGTGCTAACCGTAGACTACAAGCGCATACATACATCTTTTTGCCACCCGCGGGTCCATCACTTGCCGAGTGTTCGCTGGCCCAGGCTGCATCACAAGGATGAACCAAAAGCTGGTCATGATCCTTGCATTTGGGGGGGGGGGCGTACTCTTATGTTTTGCATGCCTTAGCAGTTAGACCACTGACCACGCGTCCTCGAGAGGACGGAGCATTGTTCCCACAGGACCGATCACCGATGGCCGATCGTTCCTTTCTACTTTGCCAAAGGTGGCTCAAAAATGTCTTCCCTAGTCTGCCTATCCTAATGATATCCCTTCACGCCTTTTCAAACCACTTCCTCCTCCCCAGTACAGCTACCGTCCTTTCCCCTCTATTCCATGCCTTAAACATCTCCCTGTACGTCCTATCAATTTTTCCCAGCTGTCATGTACACCTCCCTCTCCTTCTTGTACAACGGACATTCCGCGACCACATGAACACGGTCTTCGCATTCGAAGCCGCAATCACATTTGAACTCGTCGTCTTCCTCGTCTACCGTCCTATGTCTTCGTCGACGTTCTCGAAGGCCTATGTCCCCGGTCCTGAATTTGACCTTAAGCTTTGTTCCTGCATCCATTGGTCCATGTAGGTAGTCCTTGAACCCTATTCCTTCCTTCAACATTCCGTACACTTCTAGACCCTCCTTATCCTTGGATTCTTTCCTCAGATTCTGTTCTTCTCTCTCGGCACAAGCAACAGATGTCTTTTCCTTGAACTCCTGTAGACCGTCCGTTTCCAGCGTTTCATCTTCGTCGATGTCGAGCCCNTACCCGGTCCTAATTTTGACCTTGGGCTTTGTTCCTGCATCCATTGGTCCATGTAGGTAATCCTTGAACCCTATTCCTTCCTTCAATATTCCGTACACTTCTAGACCTTCCTTGTCCTTGGATTCTTTCCTTAGATTCTGTTCTTCTCTCTCGGCACAAGCAATAGATGTCTTTTCCTTGAACTCCTGTAGACCGTCCGTTTCCAGCGTTTCATCTTCGTCGATGTCGAGCCCCTTCCATACGTCCTCTACAACCTTGACCCATTTCGTGGGTTGCCTACCCCTCTTTTTGTTTGCCCACCTCGCCTCCCATACAGTTCTCGGCGACCTCTCCTCTCCCATCCCGCACATGCGATACTGTCATGTCAGCTTCCTCGCGTCTCTTCCCGACCGTAGGGATTG